ATGCCTTTTTCCTCCTTTGGAACTAAAATTCCTTTTATTGTGATTCAATTTACTGTTATAAGTATTTGTAATATTTGAAGTATCTTGTACGCCTTGTGTTGCAGCACTGGCCAAGAAATTTTTTTACACCAAAATATGTTCTGTGCTATTTAAATCCTGTTTGCCTTGAAATAAAATTCTTTTTTTTTCAATGTTATTGTTGCCTTTCATACCTTCTTTCGGATATCTTGTTAGTGAGAACATCTAATTGTTTTCTCTTAGTTGCATAACCTTTTCTATCGTATGAATATTAAAAAAATTCAGTCATATCCTGCAGCAGCATTATATGCAGTGACAGGTAGCCCATAAACACGTGACATCAGGTGCTCACTGGTAGTTAGCCATATTCCCTAGTTTGGGAATAAGACATCGTTGGTACATTGTGATGCTGCAAACAGTAGAAGGTGCGGTTCCAATGTGTACTAGTACTTTAACTGCTGCATTTTCATGATGCATATATGGAAAGCTTAATCAGATGCCCTGATACAGTGGTTGTTTGTAAACCAGGCAAGTGTTGTAAACAAGCTTAATTTAATCCAAGGTTTAAGTAAGTGACCGAGCTCAGGGATTCCAAGCTGAAGCACTAGCTCGAATTCTGTTTGGGTAACACACATAAATGAATTGCTTTATATGGAGGGTTGGATGCATCACCGTAGATTTCCATTTATGACTTTCAATACTGCTCAGGTAGAGAATTGTAAAAAATAAACTTCAAAGTTATGCATGTACTGCAATTGGGGTGTCCTATTGGACTCTCCCATTGCAGCTTGGGTCCCATTGACGTCCATTTGAGTCCCATTGCAACCAACTAGAACCACCTATCATGACAGCAGGTCATCCTGTTAGAACTTCAAATATGCAGAGTTGGTTAAAATGTTAGAAGCCACTACATGGGAAGTCCAATTGGACAGTCCCATTGCAGCATGCACTTCCAATTGGGCACCAGTTAGACACCATTTGAACCCCACTTAGCCCCCTTTGCCACCCATTGCTCCTAACTGGAACATCCAGTTGGACCCATTAACTATTTTTGACTGGGTGAGCTACGTGAAAGATGGCTACGAGTTATTGCGCGGAAGAACTGGGTGCCAAATTCCACTTCAAGTTACTCGGCCATGTGCAGCCTACATTTTGTGGAAACTGAATTTAGGGAAAATACCAAAAGACGCATGCTAAAGCCCGATGCGGTGCCGAGTGTCTTTCCGCATTACCCATCATACATGAGGAAGGAACCACCAAAGGTGAGAAGCTGTAGCAGCACTCGGAAAAGAAAGCGCGATTCCTCAACGGACACGTTGGTAAGTCTGCCAAGTCAGGAAATTGATTCGCGCCCTGCACCGGCGCCAGAAGTTCGCGCAAACACGCTTGACGAAGCCACTGCAGCCCAGTAGCCGGCAACAACCAGAAAGTGTTGCTCCAAGCGACATCCAAGACTTGCCTTTTGTAGCAGTAGCTAGTCACTACTGTCATTCCGCAAACTTTCTTGAGCCAACTGATGCGAAGCCAGCGGAAGAGGGTGCGGGTGCGCGTGCCTTTAGGACCTTTGGTGTTCAATGCCGACAGCATAAGCTCCGCAACAGCCTTTTGGAGCGGAAAAAATGGCGCGACAAAGAAAGGGCGTGGAAGCAACGAAATGAAAGGCTGCTGCAGGCAACAGTAGGTGCCTATAAGAAAAGCTGCATAGTTTAAAGGAAGAGTGCTACGTAAGCAAATTTCTTCAAGTATTCAGAGACTGCGATCAAGGCTGCACTAAAGCCAGAGTGATAATGGACCAAGTCCTAAACTACAAGGTGAAAAAAAACAAAGTGGTGTGAAGCCACTATACGACAGTGCGTGATTCTGAGAAGCATCTGAACAAAGTCATACGAGTATATCAGGACCGAGCTCCTCACACTCCCGGGCCGAACATATGCTACAAAGATACATGTGAACAACTGCCGGAGAAGTAGGCTTCAGTGAGCTATTGAAGCAGAGGTTCAACCCTGAAATCAAGTGCCTCGGGACGGAGCAAGCCAAAATCTGCAGCCTCATCATAGACGAAATGAGAATAAAGCAAAGACTTGAATACCACAAACAACGAGACGTCTTCTTGGGAGACATAGACATGGGCGCTCTCAACCAAGTGTTGTCAGACTCGGAAAGAAGCTAACTCGCTTTTGTGCTTTTTGATCTGTGGTCTTCACTCTAGGTTTCAGATCCCAGTGGGATACTTCTTTACCGGATAATACGCTGGTGAACTACTTGTGTAAACGACCAAGCACGTCATCAAGAAAACTGAAGATAGTTCGAGCTGTGACGGACAACCAGAAAATAAACATCGCTGCAATGGAAATATTGTCAGGTGGGCAACCGAAAACCCGAGTGCCTCATCCCGCTGAACCAAGCCGCAGTTTGTTTCTGGCGTTCGATCAGAGTCACATCCTCAAAAAACATCAAATTGCAATTTCTGGCACGAGAATTGGGAAGAAATGGCGAAATTTCTTTAACCTTCATGAAGGACCTTAACAAGATGCAGCGGGGCTCGATTATCAAGCCGGTCAGTTTTCTCACGAGGTAACACGTCTATCCGTCTAATATGGAAAAAATGGGAGTCAAACATGCCGTCCAGTTGTTTTCACCAGCCGTGACAGACAGCGGCTTTGTCCTTCATGAAAGATCATGCCGGGCACACGTGCGACGCAAAGTTCGCCAGCGTCGGCCCAACTGTTGAGTTCATGCATGAGCAGATGGTTCGCCCTCACGGAATTCAGGAACTGCCAGCAGAATATTCACCAGAACTATCCGGACACCAGGCATTTTGATGATCCTGAGCACTTCAAACTTCATTGGCTGGAACTTGTTTTTTTTTAGAATACATTGAAGATCTCAAGATCGCAAGCGCACCAATGAACTTTCTAACGAAAGAAACTCACCATGCACTGGTATTCACCACAGTCGCCAACGTCCAGTGTATCAGATTTCTGTTAGAGGGTTCAAATTTGAGTTGACTAGAAAGTTTTCAAGCGACCCCATCGAATACCTCTTTGGGACGCTTCGACTAACGTTGGCTGCAGTGATATACTTGAAAGCGAGCCGAACTGGAGGAGAAGGTTATTACTCGAGTCGTTGCATATACAGAGGACAGCCCATAACGTCAACCGCTCTCTCGGAACCCTTCCCCCAGTGTAGACACACGGACTGCGCTCCATGGCAAAACGAGAGAGAGAGAGGGGCGTCATTATCCACCCCGCGAGTGCTTTGAAGACGCCGCTGCTACGTAGTCTACGCAGTCACCCCTGAAGGCACTGCGCCGTGCTCCCGACCGGGTTGCAGAAATTAGGTGCCTTTTCTCATCTTCTAACCACTACCACCACCAGTCACCCCTGACAGACACTGCGCCGTGCTCCCGACCGGGTTGCAGAAATTAGGTGCCTCTTCTCATATTCTAACCACTACCATGTGCACCACCACCCCTGAGGAAGGAACCAAGTCAGTTTCGAAACGTCGGGTTCTGCAAAACTTTTGGTTGGAGTCTAAATCATCTCCCAGTTTCATACCCAACCAGACATACTTCTGTCGAATGTTTACATTCAATGATATGTTTGATGTCAGAAGCGCTCTTTCGGGCCTTGAGAAGATGCCGAAGACGGGCATCGTTGCGGCATTCCCACACAGGCAAAGTGCAGAGCTCAGCATCGTTCACTTTCTCGGGGAGCATTACTAGGAGCGGCGAGTCAAGCAGCACATCAACAAGCGTGGTCGCAGCAGTAAACTTGGTGCAGCACCTACTGCAGGAACTCGGCAGTTCAACGAAGCCGTTTATGCCCACGCCAGATATAGCAGCAGTTTCTCTCATCGCAGGATACATATCTCGCGTCGTGAGTAACTGCGAGCGCTGCGTGTCGTTAGTCTTGAAGGCAAAAGGGAGTAGCACCAGTGCTACGGACGGCTTGATTTCCCACCCGGACAGAGGTGGCTTGTGCTACCATACTGCGGAGCTCGTGCGTGTGTTTGTGGACGTGATGCTTCTGCACCGCGCAGCTCTCCTTAAGCCTCTCAGCTGTGTGACCGTTGTGACCAAATCCAAAGGTGCAAATTAATAGAACTTGTGTGCAGAAAGTTCATGAAGCCGCTGTTCACAAACTATGCTGTCGCCTTCACCGATAAAAAATCTGTGGCCAGGCTTTATCAAAGGAAGCCGTTGTCATAGAAGTTTTTAAAGTTTTTAAAAGCTTGCACGACGCGCACGCACCTTCAACGTTGGACTGACTAGTAGCAGCATTGAAGGACTCTGCTAGTAGTTTCAGTTCAACCGTTTGTTTCTTAACTTGTACTGACTCATTTCTTCTTATTTTTGTTTTTGTGCATATAAAACTGTTATGTCTTGTTTCATTACTTCAACCTGTGAATTCAACTTATATTTCGATCGGGATCAATATTTGGCAGAGCACTCCTTCGAGCACTTGCAAACAAAGAATAAGACACCTTACGACGCGTTCTTTCGTAGTACGTTACCAAAACAAACGCACGAATGCGAAATTACCGAATACGAAGAAAAGTAATCGCATAAAATTTGAAAAAGACAGTGGCTGCACCACATCCACCCATAGCAATCAAACAAAAAGAGACCACGCGAGAGGGTAATAATTTGACGCCACCACGCGGTTACTTGGAGAAATAGAGCACCAATCGTAGAGCAATGGGAACGGGTGCGACGCAACAGGCACAAATAGAGGAGGCGCTGGGCTAATTAACATGGCTCCCGCTGCAAATGTGTAAAAGCTCCGCACTTAAAATTTATTTTATCCTAATGAAAAACAAAAACTTTTTCATAAATAATTTGAAATAACTTGTTTTGTTTTATTTTTGTAATTTTTGAATTGTTTATTGATATAAATACTTGAATTTATTGTCCAATCAGGGCTAGGTTCTGTGGTCTAATGCTCGGCAACTACCTTCTTTTTATTAGTTGCGGATTGCTGTCGTCGCTATCACTAGGAGTGAAGTTTTAGTGTAAACATACATTTGGTCGCTTCCTAGGTACGCTTACAAATTTGCCTAATTTCTTCAAGCTTGATGTTGTGGCAGTAGCTTAACTTATGCTACAAATTTTGCGGCGTAGTTGACGTTCGCCATCTCAAGTTTCACGTATCTGAACCCACCGAGCGTTGAGGGTGAGAGAAAGAATAAGAAGAAAAAAATGGGCAGCTGAGCCCAGGACAGCTGACAACAAGGGATCCGAATATCGCTCATTTTCGGGGGCAGACTCGAAAGGACTGTTTTCGAGAGTTTCGCCGCAAGTTGCGGCAGCGTTTCGTCCCGAGTTTCGTCAAGTTTTGCTGCGCACCGAGATGAGCCCCACATCGGCGTCGGGAGAAACCCTGGATGTTATAATTTGGGAGGTATAAATTCCTGCGGGCCGCTCCAATCGGCCCAGCGGTGCTCAGGCGTGGTAATGTTTGACTGGGACGAAGGAGATCGCTTTTCCTTCGAGGACAGCGACCGCTTTGAAGAAGATTCTCTCTGCTCTTGGATCAGCGAGCCCGAAAGTCTCTGTAACAACTGGAGAGGTTGGAAAAGGCCGACGGGCAACACATCTCACGCTTCGGCGCTTCACGGCGGTCATTGTCGCTCGAAAGGTAAGCCTAGTTTTAGGCTTAAACTCAATTTTAATTAGTTTTCTGTCGTTTGCCGCAATGTATGAATTGAAATATCCGCTCGATAAGTGTATTGCCTACCACGCAAGGTTCTGGTTAAGCTGGACGCGCCAGAAATTAAGCCATCCAGCTCGGCCGTGGCACCTGACTCGAGGGGCAATGGGAAGCTTTTTTTTTATTTTTTTTTTACTTCTTTTCTCTTCCCCTTCGGGCTGTCTCATTTTGATAGTTGCTATTTCTTGGTGTTCTTTCTAGAAGGGCGAAGAGTCGAAACTAATTGGTCCCTCTTCCGCAATGATGTTTGGTGTGGAGTAAAGGTGGAGTTTTTCAATGGGTGGGGTAAACATGTTCAATTGGCGTCTTTTGTTCTTGACCGCCTTGAACCCGAAAGAAACCACTGCAACAATTCTGTCCTTTTACATTAGCGTTTGCTGTTGTGATCTTGATTGTTGGCTCCCATGGTTGTGAGTACTTGTCCCAAGAGATCGCACGTTGAGTTGATCACGAGCGTCTTCTAGGTCGGAGAGGAGTTTGTTGCGGGCTGACTCGCCCATTTCTCAGGCACTTTATTTTGTTTATTTGCTGAACTCCTGTTTGTTCGTTGGTGGAGCCGTGCATTCTTCTCCCAATCTTGCTGGCCTGTCAATGAATGCTGCCCAATGTCTTCAATAATCCCTATTTTCAACACGCGCGACAGCTTTAATTAATTTGCCGCTCTGATGACAATTGAAAAGGCACGTTTAGTTTATTGGTTTATAAGATTGCGCTATCAGGTGTTGTTGTCATGCACTGTCAGGTCCCGGTAAATTACTTTACTTCAGGCTGAAGATTCATGTGCGGCGATAAGCAATAAGTGCCCAAACTATGGGGTCATGTTTTCATAAAATGGTTTAGTAAGAATATGCATGAGTATAATACAAGTGTAATGTCTAAGTAGAGAGTTCTACCACCTTTTTGTCTGTTTCAGTTAATTCTCCTATACTTTGCATTTGAATATACATTTTAACTATGCAAAGCTTGCCAGAAGCACATTCTACAAAATAGCCCAGGCATTGTTGTAATGACAAATACCCAGTATGCCTTCCCTTGGTTTAGACAGAGCATTTTTTTTCTCTCATTTTGCCTGCTCCTAAACACAGCCACAGCACCATTCAAGCACACACATCTTCTTCAGCCAGTTTGTCACTGCTGCCTTTGAGCATTCATGACATACCTTCTAGCATGGAACCTTACTCATGCGTCATACCTAAATGAGTCGCATGTGTATAATTAAAATTTGACCTGATGGCTACGTAGTGCCAAAAAAAAGTTATTTCATAACAATATGCTGTGAGATTGGTACACTCATGAGCAGATTTATCTAGTGTGATGCTGCATGGGTGCCATCTTCCAATAATGTCTTAAAGGGTCACTAAAGTAAAAAAAGGAACAATTCATGTAGGGAGTGAAAGTTCAATGTATGAGGTCTAAGACGATAATAATATCAACAGCAGTGCCCTACTGACCGTGAAATTAAGGCGAATGCACGAGAACACATGCGCCTCAAGAAGGGCATTTGCAAAATGATCCCAATGGCGTCAGAGTTACCGCTTAAATTTAATCACTAGTAATAGAACTACCTGCATAAATAAAAACCTTCTGTGTATAAAGACACGTAATAAAATGTAGCTTGTTCGTTTTTTATTTGATTCATGGAAAAAATAATTGCCGGACGTTACTATGGCGAATGGTGCGAGTGGTTCAAAAGTTCAATTTTCGCCTGGTTAAACTAGACAGGTCGTGCCACCTAGCAGGGCCCAGTTGAACCAAGCACGTCTGCCATATTGGAGGCCATAGCAGGAAATTGTTCAATGGCTATTGTTGCTGCTGTGGCTCTCGTCACTTTCGCTCTGCTGCTAATAATGTCGCCAGCTGCGCAGTAAAGCCAAGTAGCGTTGTGCACGGCAACAGTGACGCAAGACGGCCACTTTGAGGCGGCTAATTTGAAGTGTGCCAACGTAATGCGAACCACTAAAACGCTTATTTTATTTCAAAATAAGCACTTCCTTGGCACTAAGGTACCACTATGAGGTTTCTGGACTGCTATTTCAGCAATAAACATCAACTTAATATTTGCCTTTAGTGTCCATTTAAAGGGATACTAAACAAAATTTTTGCAACCAAGATTTTCAACCAAATTAAACGATTGGGTCCTGAAATCCATATAGCCAACCTTCATTCCAGGCAGAAACTACGGGAAAATAAATAATTTAATGCGTTTTCCACAAACTGCCGCGTCTAGCGGCCACGCTGTGAACTGCAGGAGGTGACCTCAAACCCACCCAAAACGGGCAAGCCAACAATGCCAGCCGTTGCTTGCTGGACATCGCGTCTTCCCAGATAAGAAGGTAGGATCCACACGTGCTCCGGACACAACTCTCTCATCTTCCCCTTCTGGTCCCCATAACCAGTACTAACAGCACGGGTTGTGACAATAACAATGCTCCCGAATGAGGGAAAGCATTAGCACTTTTGTGGAAGAGGGAGAGTAGAATGAAAGGAGAGGTGGAAAAAACGAAGAGGACAGGAACTCGTGCACCCTGCCTACGCCTCGGCGAATGTGGCGTCGCTGCTTCTGCTCGCTTGAGGCCGCCGGCTGCTGAGAGTTCATTAAAAATACAGCAACTGTTCAAAAATATGGAAATTAAAAAATACAGCTAACTGTTAAAAATTATGGATATTAACTTTGTTTATCATAACAGTTGCATCTTCTAAATAGAATTACGAAGTTTTGTCAGTATTTCCACTTTTGTTCAGTATCCCTTTGAAATAAACTGAAACTGAGCAAGCACAGCCACACTGATAGAACTGCCTGAATATTTTTTTACCTTACTTGTTACCGAGATTTTAACAGCTGCAATCGCCAATGACGGCACGGCAGGATCAAGAGAAGTAAAAATGGCCTGTAGCTAACATTTCTGGTTAGTAAGTTGAGAAACACATGTCGTCCTTGCTCAGCAGCAACATTGCTAGCAGTCATCTGTTGAAACTTCTGTAACCGGTAAGGTTAAAAATATTTAGATCTGTGCGCTGCCTTGAGTATAGCTGTCTATGCTGAGACACACGCTGTGTAGAACTAGGTGTTATTTATAGATAGCACCTGGGCAGACTGACAGTAAAAGTAACACAACTAAGTGTGATAATGGTTGTTCATATTGTTACTTTTATAACTACAAAAGATTTTGTGCGTGCTTTATTTACTGATATCGATGTGACTTACACATGCATTTCTAAGGACAGCAGTTCAGTATATCTAGGTAAACAACACTTAGGTACTGTAAATGCACCTCATCAGAAGCCATGAGATTAGCTTGAACACATGCACATCCCACTGTACATTATGTCGCTGTCAGCTTTTCCAAAGCTTTAAATGTGGGCCTGGCCTTGTCATGACAAGAACTTTAAGTCCTGAGGGACAGGTATTTAGGGGAGCTATAAGCCTCCCGCTATATCAAGTCGGTGGCTCCGCCCACGATGGGACCGAAAGTCGAAGTTCCATCGCGATGTCGTGGGCCCTCTGGAGGGCCTGGAGTTGTGTATGAAGGCTGCTGCTCTTTAGAGATGCACCCCATTGCTCCTTCGTGATGGGCGGAGAGGCGTTAAGGGCTGGGCACAGCCAGAGCATGTGAATAAAGGAACATGAGTCGTGGCCACATTTGGGGCATGACTGCGAATGATGGGGGCCTATCCAGTGAAGGGATCAAGGAGTAGGATATGAACGGGTTTGAAATAGTCTAAATGTGCTCGCCTGAGGCTTGGTCAAATTGGGTGGGGGGCTAGAAAAATTTTTCAGGCCAGACGGTAGTGCGAAACAATTTCATAAAAAGTAGACAACGTATCTTTGTAAATGTCAACCTCGTTATGAGCATGGCTATTCGCGACAGCGCGGCACGTGAAATCGCGCGCTATCCGGTGAGCCTGCCCGTTAAGGTTACATCCGAGCGGCTTAACTGAACCATCTAGATGGACTGGAAACCATGCAATGTGGTACCCTCTTTTGCTGCACTCCCATGTTTGTTGAAGTGCTTTCGCCACAATACTGTTCGACTGTTCAGACACAAGGGCGTTGGAGAAAGATCGGACTGCCGTACGCGAGTCCGAGAGTTAGCGGCGGCTTTTGTGCTGTGATAAGCCAGAGGGATTGCCGCTTTCTCTGCCACATGGGCAATTTTCGCATAAACGGAGGCTGCATTGATGAGGTTACCTTCTACGTCAATAACCAAAATAGCAAACTTATTCCCACTGTGATACCTGGCAGCATCGACAAAGAGGGCTTCTAGTTTGTGCTGATTAATCTTTTTTAGCATGGCCTTGGCTCTCGCGCCTCTTCTACCCTCATTATGCACTGGGTGGATGTTACGTGGGACAGGGTCAACCATGATTTGAGTGCGGAATTCCCTGGACAAGTGAACTTTCGTCACCTGTTGATGCAGAGGCTGAATACCTGATTCTAAAAGCTTTATTCCTGGCTTAGAGGATGAAAGTCTTGTTATTTGAGCAGCTGTGTGAGCTTCTCGGTGCTGGTGGACTGTGGAAGGCCGAGCATGCGCTTGAGGCCGGTTCTAATTAGAGAAACGAGTTTGGCCTTCTCCACTTTAGCCCATTTAAGGTGCGGCACGATGTAAATAACATGGCTTAGAAAGAATGACTGGTAAGCTCTGATCAAATTGTTCTCTTTGAGGCCACCTCTGCGATTTGAAATGCGGGCGACAAGTCTTAGAACATTGCTTGCCTGCCCCGTGAGCCTGTTGAGCGCCTTCGAGTTACAACCCCTGGCATCAATGAGCAGACCTAGAATCTTTACGGAATCCCTACTCGCTATGGGCTGTCCACTTTAGCTCGAATTTTTATCGACAGAGTTTCCAGAGGCACAATGTTACAAACCCCTTGTCTGGACGGTTGGTATAACAGTAGCTCAGATTTATCAAGAAAAAGGTCAAGGC